GGGAAAGCTTTCAGGACACATGTTAATTGTCAATCACATGAAAGGATTCACACAGGGGAAAAACCCTTTGTATGTAAACAATGTGGGAAAGCTTTTGGGACCCAGGGTAATTGTAAAACACATGAAAAGACTCACACTGGAGAGAAACCCTATGTATGTGAGCAATGTGGGAAAGCTTTCAGGACACTCCAGGTGTGTCAAGGACATGAACGTACTCACACTGGGGAGAAACCATTTGTATGTAAACAATGTGGGAAAGCTTTCAGGACACAGAGTAATTGTAAAACACATGAAATGACACACACTGGGGAGAAACCATATGTATGCAAACAATGTGAGAAAGCTTTCAGAAGACAGAGTCATTGTCAAAGACATGAAAGGACCCACACTGGAGAGAAACCCTATGTATGTAAGCAATGTGGAAAAGCTTTCACTACACACAGTTATTGGCAAATACATGAAAGGGCCCACACTGGGGAGAAACCCTATGTATGTAAGAAGTGTGGAAAAGCTTTCACTACACACAGTTATTGGCAAATACATGAAAGGGCCCACACTGGGCAGAAACCCTATGTATGCAAGCAATGTGGGAAAGCTTTCACTAAACTGAGTAATTGTAAAACACATGAAAGGACTCACACTGGAGAGAAGCCCTATGCATGTAACCAGTGTGGGAAAGCTTTCAGGACACAAAGTCATTGTAAAGCACATGAAAGGACTCACACTGGGGAGAAACCCTATGTATGTAAGCAATGTGGGAAAGCTTTCAGCACACACAGGAATTGTCAAGGGCATGAAAGAAATCACAGTGTAGAAACACTGTGTATGTGAACAATATGGAAAATGCTTTGTTATTCTAGTAGTCATCAAAGACATTCAAAATGTAAGAGGAGAAATTCACTTTGAATATATGAAGTGACTTGCACTGATATCAAAGGACAGTGCAGAGAAGCCCTTTCTTTGTATGCAATATAAAAGTCTTTCAGTACACAGGTAGGATATACCTGAAAGAATTCACAGAACAGGAATCTGAGCCCATAAGAACAATTGGCAATGTTTTATTTTTCTCTGCATTCAAAGTCATGAAATAGTCACATGAGAGGGGAGTCATATATACGCAATGAATATGGAAATCCTTCCATTTTTCCTATTACCCAGAAAATTATGAAAGAACTCCCACTGAAAAGAAAGCCTATGTAAATAATGTATGAAAACTTTTTATTTTCATAACATCAGAAAACATGCAGAAACTCAAAATGAGATTTAGTATAAATACCAAAAGTGAAAAAGCTGAGAATCAGAGTGACATAGACAGAGAAGAGTGTTAAGAATGAGATACACTGTTTCAAAGCACACTTGCAGAGGCAATCTTCTTCCAATATATCTGTGGATTAATGCACAGATGAGGTTGGAAAGTGCATAATGTCAGATTCAGAAAATCACCACCTTCCATTTGAGTCTTCAGTACATC